AGAGTTATATCGATTGGTTTATTAAACGTTGAGTATTCAGGATTTTAATTTTAAAATATCAATAAAAAATCTCTTGACTCTGTAATTTAACCGGTACTGTTTAAATAACATATTTAAAAATATCAAATTGCTTTGCTAAGACTATACCGATCAAATTCGCAAGCAAAACTTGACACGTTGCAAAATAGTAAGCAGGTCAATGAAATCGAGCTGATCGTGTTTAGTACGTTGAAGGAATGGAGAGTATCGAAGCTGTATCCGGCACGCATCAATTAACGTGCTATAAGTATTAAAAAATTTCAAATCAATTATATACATCACTCATGTACATATTAAGAGGAGTAATAAACAATTAACATGTGTGTTTTATGCTACGAGTCTCTCAAAATAACTCGACAAAACCAACGCTAGAGGTTGAATGAATGAATACACATTGTTTATTAGTCATATAACCGAGAAGTAGTACTTTAAAATTTACGACACGTTACGCCACGTCATCGTACAGTTTTTCGAAGAATTATAAACGGCAGAAGCATTTTTTGCAAACCTACATGTGCGCGACATCGTGGGGTATTTGAGTTTATTTTTATAAAGCATCATAGTTTGGCCTACTTTTAACGATTCGCACATATGTACGTACAATAGACCACTGTTAATAAGGGAGTTCAATTCAATTCAAAAGATTCCATTAAATTTTCTTATGTAATTTATCATTGCCTTCTTATATTAAAGGTGTTTGTGTATTTCCAACTACACAACATACTCTTCTCATACATTTACGTCGATCGAGGAACATCGGACGCACCGTACGCACTATGACGGTAATGCCGACCCTATATTTCGGGGGCAACTGTTCCGATGTGTCATACAAATTGTACATCATTACTTACATACCGCACACGTCCTCACTAGATTACACACAGGTTTAGTAGCATAACGACAAAGGAAACGTTACGATGTTAGTTTTGGATATAAGTCTATACCAAGAATAAAAAAAGTCGCTACTTGGTTTAATGCTGTCAGATGTTTAAATTGCACATACCAGAAATCATTAATTTGTAGAAAATGGCAGTATGGTGTTTTAAATTGCTAAGGAGAGTATTCATTTTGAATGTAAATTATTATTTAAGAAAGAATTCGATAATAATTAAGAATAATTATTAAAATCCCACGACCGTGTTTGACATCTTTGAAGGTAAAGCCATTATCTTTCCGACTGTAGAATTATATGGCCTTTTAATAACCTTTAATTAAGAATGCGTTAATAAAATATGAGCATCCTTGATCTCTTTATTTAATTAAAAACAGTTCACAAAGGGAGACAGATATATTTAGACCGGGACATAGCATATCTTCGTAGCAAATATTGCTTCTGTTTGCACTTGAGACCCGAGGGCGTATGTTATCTGGCGAGATATTTGAGAATGTGCGTGGGATGAACACAAATACTGGTTTTTGCAGTCGTAGCATTTATTCGCGAAACTACGTATCGTACGTAGGAGTTTAGAGATATAAAAAAATGTATTAAGAATTATTTTAAAATGAAACAAAGATTACATAACAAAGATGTTGCTTGTATAATTTTCGGCTAAATACGTAAAGATATAGAACGATTCAAATAATTCCTTACAGAAATTTCTATAGGCTAAGTTTTTTAATGCTGGACCCAGATACTAGTAACTAGATAATGCATGCAATGTATGTAAACAGTTATTTCACCACAGATCAGGGATAAGCAAATATGCTGCCTTCCGCTATGGAATTTATCGCAACGTACTCACTCAACACTTGACGTTGTGATTGCTGTTAATGTGGGTCAGACATTTACCATAGATATTGGTTAAATATTTTAAGATGTATTTTAACAAGACTATCAGATCCAAAAAAGTAAAGACTATTTTATTTGCGTTGCTGATAACGAACATCGCATTTAAACTATTTCTGTCTGTCTGTCTGTCTGTTCGCGAGCCGCGTTTGTTCCGGGTAATCTCCGAAACGGCTCGACCGATTTCGACCGGACTTTCACTGAAGGATAGCCGACATAGACGTATTATAGGCTACTTTTTTCATTCCGCGTTGTTAAAGTGGCGAATCGGGTGGTCCAAACTTGCGATAACGAAGTTTGAGGGCGCCAGCTCCTTTTAAACTATAAACAGTTAGTCACATTCAACAACCTTTGCCACCGAGCTAATCAAGACATGATTACGTAACAATGTTTAGGCGACC